CACACCTCCACTACATTAATGAAAAATTGAAACAGATATTTCAAGGGGCTTTTAAAAATCCATTCTCTAGAGACAAAGTCTTTTGCATACATTTGGGATGTTAGAGCATGTTCACGAAGTTCAAAGAAATTTCAATGACATGTGAGGTAATAATAAAAACTTTTTGTCAGTTACTGACTAGCTCCAAAAGTAAAGGATTTTTCTATTTGTTCCATAGTGTTACAAGTTGTGACACCCATGGCAAGATGACATTGGAAAAAGCATTGTCAATTGTGAACCTCCAGCAATGCAAATCTCCCACCAGACAAACAAATGCTTCAAACAACTTAGGTCAGAATTAGGGGTTTCTTCCTCTCCCCCCACAAAACAGCAAGCACATGGTAAAGCTGAGCATCATTTCAAACTCAGTAATTTGAAACATGGGATATTTCACTCAAATCAGCGTTAGCTGAAATTTGCCATAATTTGAGGTTGCTAAGCAAATTCATAGCAGCACATTAAATCTAATTCAAAAAGCAAACAATTTTAGCTTATTAATTATGCAGGAGAAATAATACATGCCGATAATTACAGATTAGTTAGCTTGCTCGTTAAAACAACATTGTAATTCCACTTGTTATCATTGTTACAATATATAACTGAAATAAATAAAACTCCATTAAAATTTCTGACAATGTATAAATTAATATTTCATGAAAATCAATCCTGCTTTAACATCTCCACTAAATCAAAGTGTTTTTCATCTTATTTGTTATGTTGAGTGAAGTTTTTTGTTTTTTATTTTTTAAATATTTTTTATTGATTTTTTACAGAGAGGAAGAGAGAGGGATAGAGAGTTAGAAACATTGATCAGCTGCCTCTTGAACACCCCCTACTGGGCATGTGCCCGCAAACAAGGTACATGCCCTTGACCAGAATCGAATCTGGGACCTTTCAGTCTGCAGGCCAAAGCTCTATCCACTGAGCCAAACCAGTTTTGGCCTGAGTGAAGTTTTGCTATATGTTTTAAAGCATAAGAATAAATCATTTATTAAATCATCTATATCATCCCAGAATTCAAGGAAGCTTCAATATTAAGAAATTTACTAATGTAATATACTACATAAAGTGATGATAATATCTCAATAGATGCAGAAAAGAATTCCATCAAATAATTCTCATTAATGACAAGAAGTTTTAGTAACTTAGGAAAAAAGATAATTCCTTAACTTGATAAAACTGATTTTTCAAAAACCTACAGCAAATACTATTCTTTTTTTTTTAATTATAAGTACCAATCTTAATGGTAAGCTTTTAAAAACTATTTTCATGACAGTTTCAAATAATGATTTTTATTATTACCTTTATTTTTTAATACTAGAGGCCCAGTGCATGAAATTCAGGCATGGGTAAGGTCCCTAGGCCTATTAGGTTCCCTGCCTCCTCACCTCCTCCTTCCCTTGCTCCCTCAGCACTTTGCCGCTGCTGCTGTTCGCCTTTCATGTTCCACACCAGCCCCTGGTCCTCAGCGTACATCATAGTGTGCGATTGAACTCCCGGTCTCCCAGTCAAACTCCTCAGGGGACACTTTGTATACACACACACACACACACACACACACACACACACACACACACACTAGGGACCCAGTGCACAAAGATTCATGTGCTGGGGGTGGGTTCCTCAGCCCCACCTGTACCCTCTCCAATCTGGGACCCCTCAGGGAGCCCTCTCCAATTCGGGAGTGTCTGTCTTCTTGCTTCATTGGTGGAGATTTCCTGGAAGTTTTATATCTTCCCTTTAATTTTTCCTAGACATTCTGATTTTACTTATGTCTCTCACCTTTGTTTTCCCTCCATCCCCCACCGCTACAGTAATTTGCTCCAGCCTCTAGTGTCTAGGGGAGATCTGTCTGCCACCAGAACTACGATTCCCAGCATTCCTGGTGCTGCCTGCGCTCTGGGCTTCTACTTCCAGTCGTGGGGCTGCCACCAGAACTACTAATACCAGAATTCCTTGTGCTCCCGGCACTCCGGGATTTTTTTCTGTTAGACAGACTGTTCTTTTAACTCTACTAATTATGATCATTTTTATAATGGCACAGGACTATAGAGCCCAATGGATCAGAATAAAGCCCATAAACACACACATGTATAGAAATATTGAAGTTTTTATTACAAGGTCTTAAATATATGTTGGACTATTCAATAAATGATGCTGGGAAAATTAGTAATTCATTTGAAATAAAAAAATAAAATGAATTCTTACCTTTCACCTTACATAAAATGAAATTTCAAGTGAATTGAAGATCAATATCTTAAAAAGCAAAATTAGAAATCTTTGAGAAGAAAATATAAGTGAATATATTTATATGTAGGGAAATATTTCTTTCAAATATATACAAAAAGCTCAACTCATAAGGAGGAAAGATTGATAAATTTACCCACTATAAATTCTCAAAAAACTTCTATTCAACAAAAGACACACTAAACAAAAAGGAAACAATATTACAGATAGGAAGAGTATAACTTCAGTACATAAATCTGGCAAGGGATTAGAATCTAGAATACAAAAAAAAAAAAAGAAAGAACTGGAAATCAAGAGGAAAAAATATACAACATAATTATCAAAACAAAACAAAGGTTAGAACAGACCATTTCTCCAAAAGGAAATCTGAATTGCCAAGAAATAAATGTTAGGTATTTATTTCAAGTAAAGTGAATTAAATCAGAAATTTGAATGAAAACAATGATATACCATTTCTTAGTCATTAGACTAATAAAAATTTAAAATTATTTTAATGTGAAATATTGGCTAATATAGAGAGGATGGGTACTCTCAAAAACTTCCCTCACCAATGGCCACATTCATTTTTTAAAAAAAATCATCACCTGAAAATATGTTTGTCTCCTGTATACACTTCAACCAGAAATCGAACCCAAAACCTAGGTATGTGCCCTGACCAGAATTGAACCTGTGAACCTTTGGTGCACGGGACGATGGCTCAAACAATAAGCCACACCAGCCAGGACTGGCACACAAATCAGAGGGAAAATCTATGGTCTATGAGACACTTCAGTAACCTTGTAATTGACCTGACTTTTTTTCATAAGCTAGCGGGAAAGGATTTCACTTAGTTTAAACAAAAATAGTGTTAAAACTAAAGTTGCACAATTCATTGTTTGCATTCGTGGATTAATTATTATTGGAACCTCATAATGATGTTGAACCTGTTTTATTTGTTAAGAGTAATGAACATGATAGCTGTTTGCTCCTTCAGTGTATGATCATTTTTTTCATTCATGCATGTGTCCATTCGCATTCACTCATCAAACATAATTGAATGCTCACTATACTAGAGGCAAGGCAGGAGGAATACCACCTCCTTGGGAAGTTCAGATTTAATCTTAAAATTTAGAAAACTATTATACATATTTAAATAAGTGGGATATTTTAGGCTGCAAGGTAAAAAAACAACAACAAACTTAATGCAAAGTGGCTGAAACAGTAAGGAAACCTGTTATCTCACAGGACTGTAAGTTAGAGGTAGGACTGGGTACAGGAGGACACAAACAGGCTCTGCTCTGCATCTTTGAGATGTCCCTGGCTCCATATTGCATTGACTTGATCTTCAGGCTATTCTCAGGGTTTTAAGATTGCAGTTTCTTCCTCATGTTGAGAGAGAGAGAGAGAGAGAGAGAGAGAGAGAGAGAGAGAGAGAGAGAGAATCTCTCTTTCAACCTTGGAATACAATTTCTGCCCTTCATTCTGATTAGGTCAACTTAGGTTACATGTCCATCTTTGGAACACTAAGGCAGCCTGGGAAAGGCCAGGCACTGTATCAATTATTGGCAAGGAGCATAGGATTACCAGGTTTGTTTAAGAACAGAGGTTCTCAAAGTGGCGTGATAAAAAAATCACCTGCAGCCGAAACCGGTTTGGCTCAGTGGACAGAGCGTCGGCCTGCCGACTGAAGGGTCCCTGGTTTGATTCCGGTCAGGGGCATATACCTTGGTTGCGGGCACATCAATGATTCTCTGTCATCGATGTTCTATCCCTTTCTCTTCCTCTCTGTGAAAAATCAATAAAATATATTTTTTTAAAAAATCACCTGCAGAGCCCATCCCAGGCATTTCTAGTTTAGTAGGTTAAGAATAGCGCCCAAGAATTTGCATTGCTAATATATTCCAAGTAAAGTTAATGCTGCTTGCCCAGGGACTACACCTTTTTGAGAATCACTGGCTTTGGTAGACAAATCATAACTTATCCCAGAAGTTGGGGATAGAGGTAGCTTCTCTAAGTCACATGGCTATGTGTGAGAGGGGGAACATTTGATCAAAGCAGAGCAGAAAGAAGATTGAATTGAAAGATTGAAAGGAAACCAACAGTGCCTCCTACACATATGTAAGCAAGAACATGGTATTGTCTTATAGGTTTTATAGATTATTTATTAAGGATGCAAAAATGCAAGAGTGATCTAGGTTAGGAGGACATGATAACATGAGTTTTCAATTCAAGATTACACCCCAGTTAAAATAATTTTTTTATTTTTTCTTTATTTATTTTGAATCAACAGGAAAACAAGAGGTAAGGTTTCTAAGGAGGATGAACATGGAGTTGAATCAGTTCTCTATGGAGAACTGCCACTTGTCTCTCCGGATCATCTCTATTCTGGGTTCATGGAGTAATTATTGTCTTTGCAAGGCTAGTGTGTAACTGCTAGGGCAGGGCTACAAAGCTACTTGCTTAAATTCATCTGAGGTTTTAAATTAGAGTACCTTTTTGTAGGTGAAGATGTGATAATGGAATGTTTGATTCGTCAAATTTTTTATTAGTTGCATTTGCACCTATTAACCAAAGCAGGGTAAGAAAAACCCAAAGGTGTTTCTCAAACTGTGCTCCTTAAAACTCATAGGCCCCAAGAGCTGCTATGAGGTACTACGAGAAGAATTCTATGAGCAAGTAAGTTTGAGACTTGACTTTTCACTTGCACCCTTTCAAGTGTTAAAAGATCAGGGAAGTTCTCTAGTGTGGAAGGTTATTTGATCACAGAATCCCTTTTACATAACATATTAATATATTGCAGGAGTTCTGTTTGTGGAACACATTTTAGGAAAAGCTGAACAAAGGTACTTTTAAAACGCTGTCAAAGATCTGTTTCCATTGGCAACCACTCCACAGTTTACCAAACTTCTCTTTAAATTCATTCTGACAGCTAATCTAAGCGTTCCATAGTCAAAGTCAATTTCCTGATGTCTCACACATACCAAGATTAAGCTGTGAGCCAATGTAATAAAAGGATTTTCCTATGACTTTTCTGCTAATTCTTACTCTGACTACTACAGTTGAACAAAATGAGGGCTGCACAATGCCTTATACACAATAGATGCTTAAACAGTTTTAAAGGTTGCACGTAGCCAAGGAATATAATCATGAATACACAAAGTGTTTTCTGTGTAACCAGTCAAGCATTCTGATTGAAAAAGATTTTAGCAATTTGCCAATGACTCCTTCAGAAATCTGAGTACCATAAGTAATTGGAGTGTTGCATCACCAGTGAAGTTTATTTCTAATACATTCAATTCAGTTCAGTTTCCTAAACACTTTTTGGGTGGATGCCTATGAGATTCCAGGCTCTGTACTATTTCTAGTTTGATACTTTGATGTTGTGAATGACAACATTTAAAATTTTAAGACATTTCCCCTCCTTAACTACATTCAATAATTTCATTATAGTAGATAGATTAAAATCTGATAATGCTGAATGTAAGCTCTTACGATAATTCTCAATTGATACCTGCATTTACTCATCTTTTACTTATTTGCAAAGACCATTGAAAGAGGCATCTCTTTAGCTACATTCTAAGAATCCTTCCTTTCCACTCATCTCCTTCTGAGGCCATAAAATGCTAGGCAGGACACTCTGGTGCTCAAACTTTCCACCACAAAGTGTTTACTTTCTGGTTTTTAAAAATGGTTTGGGTTTTTTTTTTTTCTTCAGTTCCCTCACTTGTCCAACATTGGTACCCGAAGCCTTGTAATTGTGTAAATGCAAAGAGCAAACCCCTGCAATTATGATTTAAAAATATGCCCTTCAATTTAAAGTAGTGAGTTATCAAAGATAAATGGAGGCAGGATCCTAACCAGAATGAATCTGCACAATATTGACATAGAGAATTGTCCTGAGAAGATTAAACCCCAACTAGAGAAGCAGGCGGAGGGACAGTGAGTGACAGGGGCTTTGTGGGAGGGTGGGGGGATGTGCCTCCCAAGGGGAGAGTTCATCTTCTTTCTCAAAGAGACGCCTTCAGGGATCATGGAACTTGAATTCCCTGCGAATTCAGTGTCATCTTAGCTTGACCAGCTCTGGAAGAACATATTAACCTTCGCTTATGATTTTCAGAAAACCATTCTAATTTAGCAAGTAATTAAGGGTCACATGGAGGATAAAGAGCTAGATAATCTTGGATTACCCACAGGAAGCTTTGTCTCCAAGGCAACCCCCGATGGAGGGGCTGTTAATGCGAAGGCCAGTCGGTTAATGAACTGGGAATGGGTACTGCCTCCCAGACTCTTTTGAGCCAGAGAAATGGAAATAACAATTATATGGCCATTGAAGGATTCAGCAATAGAAAATAAGTGCTTCAAAAGTCAGGGGAGGCAAAACATTTAGAGAAGGATATAATTGTTACTGTTCTGCCAGACCAAGCCTATGGATCTAAAATTAGCTTATCTTGAACTCAAGCTATGCCTATTTCATTTATGAATTTTAACCTGGTCTCCAGCTGAACCCTCTGGTTTCAGTGCTTCCTATGACCTAATTATTCCAGAGCCTTCTTTCTCCAGAGGGACACAGCCTCAGCATCCACATCAGGCTGGGAGATCAGCCCAAGGGACCTTTGGAAGAGAGACAAAAGTGGCATTGTCCAGCAGAGTCTTTGATTTCTCACGCCGGGCTGAAAAATAAGTTAAGGTTGCACAGATAAGCACCATAAGAGGATTTTAGACCAGGTTGGTAAAGGTGGAAGAGAAAAGTGCAGGCGACCTAATGAGAGTGCTGTGACAAATGAGAAGGAAACAAAAGCAGCTTCTGGGAGGGACTGAGTGGAAAACTCAAGCATCCACCAAGATTCCTCATTGCTTCTCTCAATTTTCTCCTAATGGCCAAGTTTGGGTCTTACATTCTCCATGAAGCTTTCTGCAACTCCGTGAGCCCTTATTCAATGCCCTTCTTTGAACACTTACTGAAACCCATTTCACACTCCATGGTAGTTTCTCTTTCAGGGTTCATTAAGTCTCACCTAGTTTATGTCTCTTGGCTTATAAGTCATGATATATGTATTCATATTCTATAAACATAAAGTAAGAGTCAATTGTGAGGTAGGCACTGTGCTAGGTGCTGGAGAGACAAAGATGAATAAAATATGGTCCTGACAGCAGGTGCTCACAGACTAGAGAAGAGGCAGGTAGGTAGGCAGAAATGTGTTATAAGCTCCCAGAGAGATGTAGACACAGCTGGACATACATCTGGCACTGTATGTCATTCTTGAATAGTGGGTAGCAAGAAAGAGAGCTAGTAACATGAAAGACATTTATCACCAACGCCAAGGCCAATGGCATGGCTGAATAAGACATTTTAAGGAAATATTGGCAGTGAAATATTTTAGCTCATAATAACTAAATCTAGAAATAGATGAGCAGCAGAGGGTATTGAACTTCTGGGTTAAGGCAGAAAAAGATAAGGAGCAAGGAAGATATATTGATGGAGATTTACTATGATTTCCTTACCAGGAAAATAAGACAAGTGTGATGTTTCCATTTGAGTGATCAGGGCCGGCACCGGGTACTGGCACCAGGTGCAAGCAGCAGCTCTGGCACCAGCAGCAGGTGCGAGTGCCAGGCAGGACCGTGGCACATGGGAGCAAAGAATTTTCAGTAACTGCCAGAGGCTCGCCCTCATGCCCTGATGATAGCAACTGGCACCCCACCTTGGTCTGGCGCGCCCCCCTACCCCACCTACTCCACCATCCCTCCATGGCCCATGCCCGCCATGTTCCCTAGCTGCCCCCTGGTGGTCATCACATGCATAGTAACTGGTTGGTTGGTTGTCCCGCCGTTCCATTTATTTGCATATTATACATATATGAAAGACAAAAGGAAACCTGGTAGAATAAAGCCCCAAAATTAAGTGATCTGAGTGAGAAGCAGGGTCCCAAACAAGATCCAAATAAATTCGGAGCCTTCAGGTCCAAAGAGGCCAGCTTCACCAAGGGAAGTGGAGAACACTTCCTTGTATAGTGGGGAAAACATGCCTCCTTAAGAGCTGACTTCGGGGAAAGCCCTCCTGGAAATAGATGACCCTCGGCTAAGCTGTTTACACAGCTGTGTGCATTTACACAAAAGGCAGAGATAGAAGGCATATCTTACTATCCTGTCTCTGAATATTTGTAAGCAGATAGAAAAGGGAAAATAGATTTAGAGTGGGAAAGGAAGTAGATCTGGAAGTAGAGACAATGATGAAGCCTATGGGAGGTTGAGATAAACGGAAACCATTTTTCTGATGACTGTTTAACTGGCCTGGGAGTATGCAGGATGGTACTTCATATCTATAATTATGGTAATAATTTATAACCTCTTCTGGGTTAAATTTCAGATATGTGAGGCCACATATGAAAACCATGGAGATGGGCAAAAAGGGTCTAAAACTGTCACCAATTCATTTAGTAATTCTTCTATTGCACACCTATATGTGCTGAGCACTGCTATAAACATTAGGGGTAGAAAAATGAATTATACAGAGGAGGTATTGGTCTCATACTATTTTACATGCTAGTGCAGATAGAGACTAAAACTGTGATCACATATCTTAAAAGAAAGTTTCAAATTCTGATATTGATAAGCAACCAACCACCACCACCACCACCAAAACAAACATAGTAATGGGATTGAGAGTGACTGTGGGTAGAGTGGGCAGGGGAAACCTCACTTTGGGGAGAGGGCCTTGGGGAGGCCTCTCTGTGGGGGAGACAGTTAACCTGAGGCCTGAGGGATGAAGAGGCAGCCAAGTGAGGATGAGGGGCAGAGTGTCCCAGGCAGAGGGGACAGGCGTGGAACGTCTCTGGAAAGCTGTGGCTTGTTCAGAGAGCAGGAGAGAAGCCCAGAATGATTGGAGCGTGGTCAGTAGTTGGAGAACAATGGAGAGGAGGCATGAAGGATGGCAGGGGCCTTCTGACCATGATAAAGTGTTTGCATTTTTTTCCTAATCATAGATGACAGCTACTGGAGCGCTTCTAGGCAGTGACAACTATAATCCTGTTCTGTGATCTCTGCCAATTTAAGAGCCTCGTGGGCCAGCAGCACCGGTGTAATCTGGGAATTTGTTAGAAGTGTGGATTTCTGATCCCACCCCAGACAGATTGAATAAAAATCTGTATTTTAAAAGATCCCCAAGTGTTGCACAGATGCACGAAACCTTACGAAGCACCGCTATAATCATGTTGACGCTTTGAAAAGACTTTAAGGAACACCTACTTAAGATGGCTACAATTTCTTTAAAAAAAAAAAAAAAAAAAAAAAAAAAGGAAAGTGAGTGTTGGTGAGGATGTGGAGAAATTGGGACCCTTATACATTGCAGGTGGGAATGTGAAATGGTGCAGTCACTATGGAAACCGGTCTGACTATTCCTCAATAACTTAAAGATAGCTTATCATATGACTCAGCAACTCCACTCCTGGATATATACACAAAAGAACTGAAAACAGGTGTTCAAACAAAAACTTGTACATGAATGTTCATCGCAGCACTGTTCACAAAAGCCAAAAGGTGGAAACAACACCAATGCCCATTAACTGATGAAGGGTCAACAAAATTTGATGACATTATTCATCCATGAAAGGAATGTAGTACTGATACATGCTAAACATGGATGAACATTGAAAACATTATGCTAAGTAAGAGAAGCCACATATCATATGGGTTCATTTATATGAAATATTCAAAATGGGCAAATCTATTAAGACAGAAAGCATGTTGGTGGTTGCCAGAGGCAGTGGGAAGGGATGCAGGAGGATGATTGCTTAATTGCTATAGGATTTCCTTTAGGGGAGATGAAAATGTTTAGGAGCTAGACAACGGTGATGGTTGTATGATAATGTAAATGTTGTACTTGTCACTAATGGCAAGTTTCATGTTATGTGTATTGTATTATTTAAAAAAAAAAAATGAAAAACACACCACATGGCATTTCCTCAAGGGTCATTTGTGGGTGGAGTTGCTAATTGTGTTTAAATTTTGTAACATTCCATTCATGAACAGGATACTAAAACTTTAGCATGCACATGCTTTTAGAAAACATTACCTTGTTGAATGCTAACATTAAAATGAACTTGGCCAAATTAGGCTAGAATCAAGTAGAATGCAGTTCCACAAGGTTAAGCAGATAAATAAACAGTTGCTGAGGGCAGGCGAGAGAGGTACAAGAGTTTAAAAGAATCGAGGCGCCAGAAAGTATGGCTAGAGAGAACTCTGTGGACAAAAATTGGTTTTAGTATCTGGATTCATGTACTGGTGAACCACAGAGACACCACCAGGCTCCTTTGTCATTCCATTTAACATCCCTTGGATGCATTTTCAAATTGTGCTTCCAATTCTGGGATAAATTGGGGAACCCATGAGAGCCATGAATTGGTTGGACTTAGATTATGAACCTTACCAATATGATGAGAAGTCTTGCATATTCATGTATTTATTTGTCACCCACTTCCCTCCTCCATCCAATCTCTCCATGTCCTGAGAGACAGTAGAGTATGAGAGGTCTGTGTCTGGAGTGGTCTTGATTCACGCATGCCACCACCACTTATTACGTGTAATACTGTGCAAATCACTTCATCTTGTGTGCCTCTGTTTTCTCATCTGTAAAATGGGGATAATGATTCAGAGTTCAGAGAATTAACTGAGTCAATACATGGAAAAAGCATGGAACAATGCTTGGGACCTAGGAATCACTCTACCCCATTAGCTGCTATTATTGTTACTCATCTGAGCATTTGGGATTATGGAGAGAATAAGGTGTTTTTCCTGCTATGGCAGAGCGCACCTCTGGTGGGAAACAGACCACAATATTGCCTGGCAAACACAAAGAAATAGGTGGGCACAAAGTGCTTTTGGGTCCCAGAGGGTTTTCATTCTGCTCAGGAGGAAATGTGAGGGTTCAAAGACCAGAGGGCATCTGAGCAAACCAGGAGATGGATGGCATTTATTGTAGCCCAAGGGAACAATACACGCAAAGGTCAGAGGTGTGTAAGACCTGACTCCCTGAAGGAGCTGTGACTGCTTTGTGCAGCAGAAAGGTGTGAGGGAGGGATCTCTGCAGATGAGGTGGGAAGCCAGCTCTGCTAGCTTCTGGAGGTTGTGGTAAACCTTGGCATTTCTTGGCTTATGGATACATCATCAGGCAAATTTCTAACTCCATGTTCAGATGGCCATCTTCCCTCTGTGTTTCTGGGCCTGAATTTCTTTCTTCTATGGACTCCAGTCACTGGTTAAGGTCTTCCCTAATCCAGGATGATCTCAATCTAACTTGATTACATCAGCAAAAACCCTGTTTCCAAATGAGGCCACATTCATAGATACTGGTGATTGGACTAAAACAAATCTTTGGGGGTTGGAGGAGAAAAGGGATACAATTCAACCCCCAATAGAGATTGGCCAGTTAGAACAAGGGAGAAATGCACATCAATAACACACTTTACAAGGATGAGTCTGGAGGTTTGAGGTGAGGAGACTAAAGGACTATATAACACTGGAGGATCAGTTAGGAATTTATTTCAAAACAGTAAAAACTGCCGAGGCCCTGACAAAGGCCATGCCTGAAAATGCTGAGCCATCAGAAGCACTGGCCACCCCAGCCAGAATTTTTGGCAAGAATCATTCTTAGGCTTTGGGCCATGTGTGCTTCCACTAGCAGCCACTGACAATTACTTCTTGGATCCATTATTTAATTAGGTTTGATGAGATGTTTATATTCTAATCCCATCATTTCTTCTTCATTTTTTTAGTTGGATGCTTCCATAAAAAGAGACTTCTCATCAACTATTTACTTTGATCTACAGTTTATTTAATGACAAGAAAACTGCTTGATTCTTTCCTTTAAAAACAAAACAAAACACACACACACACACACACACACACACACACACACACACACAAACAGTTTCAAAGCTAGAGTTAGTTCCCAGGCATCCTTCAAAAGTATGTTTTTGTTGTTGGGTGTTGTTTTCCTGTTTATTGTAAGGTGTCATTTTGAACTCATGTGGGTTTTTTGTTTTGTTTTGTTTTTTTGCCTTAAACATATTGATGCATTTTAACCCAGTTCAATTATTGTCCTTTTTAATGCTCACATCGTTTCTGTGGGTCCCCCTTCAAGCTGCCTCCTCAGTCCCGTTGATACAATCCCAGGAAACTTTGATAGGTTTTCTTGCTTTCTGGTACAATTCATTGAACTTTTCCAATCTCACAGGTGAAAAGTGTTACATCATGGAGTCATTTGCATTTCTTTTATTAATCCGAGTATTTCATGTATTTAATTGAATGGATTTTCACTTTGCAGCTGACCAATACATGGGCCAGACAGGTGTCAGGGTGACCAGGAGCCCTGCTGTCTAATGTTACCATTGGTTTGACCTGTAAGGAAGTCACAGATCTTCCTGGAACTTTGTTTCTTATCACACTGCGGGAGAGGGGTGTCTTTACAATCTTCACATTTTAGCTAAAATGCTGAAAACTTAATTCTTGGCTCTCGTGTGTCCCAAAGGTTTTTGTTTTGTTTTGTTTTGATTTGTTTTGTTTATTCAGTAAAGGCAATTGAATCCTATATAATAAAAGGCTAATATGCAAATTGTCCCCTTGAGAGTTTGACCAGGAGACTGGGAGTTCGATCACTCATTATAACATGCGCTGACCATCAGGGGATGGCACCAAACAAGGTGAGTGACCAGCGTGGTGGTGGTGGGGCCCTGAGGGAGCAAGGGAAGGAGGAGGCGAGGAGGTGGGAAATCAGATTGGCCCTGATAGCCAGCCAGGCTTAGGGACCCTACCTGTGCACAATTTTTGTGCACTAGGCCTCTAGTTCATTTTAATTGTTGTCTAGTGCAAGTTATTTTGTCAAATTAATTTGTAAAATGGAACAATTTGTGAGATTATGTGCTCTGCTTTTTAAAATTATTTACGATAAAATGTAGTGGCTGCCCTAATAGAGACCCTCAGCTTGCTCTTTTAGAAGTTGCAGCCCTCTGCAAATAGCATCCCAGCATCTGCTGGTGCTCTCAGGTTGTTGAGGGTGCTCCTCCTCCAGCCTCCCCACCCTCCTCTTCAGGCTGCTCATTCACTCATTAGAAGCTGCTTTCATAGCAAGTGGTGTGTGTGTGTGTGTGTGTGTGTGTGTGTGTGTGTGTGTTCTGCTGTTTG